TCATTGACCTCACTGACACTTACTAGCTGTTTGACCTCGGGCAAGTCACTAAACCCCACTGCTTAGCAAAAACCAAAGGTCCCTGAAGAAAATAACTCCTTAAAAATTAGAATTGAGCAAAAGGAACCTAATGACTATATGAGAAATCAAGAAACAATAAAGTAAAAGCAAGAGATTGAGAAAAAAAAGAAGCAACTTTAAGTTAATCTAGCAGGAGTAGGGGTTGGGTATGATTTGTTAACTTAAAAGCATGGTTACTAAAATTAAGAACAGGGAGACTGCATATTAGAGCAACGATTGGAACCATCAAGGTCTACAGTCTGCTAAACATTAGACATTCCAGTTTATAAATGTATTTCAACATTGTCAGATGTTTGAAACTCACCATATTTCCTCCTAACTTAACAATATAATACTATAAACAGTGGTTAGATTTTAAGATTAAATCATAAAAAATTAATACACTGATTGTTAAACTCTTAATAAAATCATTAACCTAGTTGTGTAATTGAGAAAGGATGGCACTGAGCATTAGAACACTTGAGGAGATCCAGCTCCTGTTCAGCCATTAATTAACTACATAAAGTTTGGGCAAATCACTTAACTTTAAGCAAGCCCCATTTTCAACATCTGCAAAACAAGGATTTGGATCCAATGTTTAAATGTAGTGACCTCTGAGGTCCCCTTCTAAAAGTGAAATGCTACAAATGTATTTTAAAAACACTATTGAATTAGCAACAGTTAAACAGCCGGAAAAAAAAAAAGAAACACAGAGAGAATAAAATTGAATAATAGGGGAATTTAGTTTATCTGGAATGCTGCTGCTAAAAGAAAAATATATATAGAAAAGGATGATGAAATAGATGGGACACTTGTACTTTCAAATCATTTTGAAAGCTGACAGCATTGCCTCTTGTCCTTTTGCTTTCTTTTGCTTTGGTACAGGTGTGTCACCATTATTAGATATAAGTGGTGTAAATTTTTTGGCTTATACATGGAGTGAAGAGAGGGAAATAGATTTCCCTGATGTTACTTGACAAAAGTTGGAGAGATGGGAAAGAAGGAAGACGATTAGAGAGATCTGTGTGTTATGGAGGAGGAAGCCGGTCTATAGTAGTATTTATGGTAGGAGAGGCAGGGCAATAGGGAAGCATAGCATTTACATTATTTCCCGAGAGTAGAGAAAGGGAGCTGTTAGAAAGGCTTCGGGACAATTCCCATGCTCTGAGCCAAGAATGAACAAACTTGGTTGCTATCCAAGGAGTCGAGAAAGGGAAAAAAGGAGGAGAAAACAATTGGTAATACACGTTTTCAGAATGTTAAGAAATCAAGTATCTTTAACTCAAGGAGGGCCTAGGCTGATTATTTTCACGCAACAGCAAAACAAAAACGATTTTCTGGTTAACAGCAACAGCACTGGAAATGACAGAACAGATAATAATATTTATTTTAGGGGTCACACATTTTTAAACATCTCCCTTAGGGCTGTTCATCTCTCCAAAGAGAAAATTCTATCAGTAAATAGCAAAGGTTTTAGGTAACTAAACATAATAATTAGTAGGAACTGAATCTTTCTAAATCTTTGCCAAATTCTAAATTTTCAGACCCCTCCAAAAAAGGAGGAGAGAGAATGCTGTTTTCACAGAGAGAGGAAAGTATTTGTCTCTCAAACTCCTTAAACAATTCTTCACTTTTATACAGGGCAATGTCTATTGCAAAAAGTCAAGTTTCCATGACTTCCTACTGGGAGAAAAAGTCACCTCTGAGGAAATGCAAGTGCCTATTTAGTCTTTCCTCTGTGTCAGAAGAATCATAGCAGGAGGTGACTTGACTTGTGAAACAAGAGAGAGCAATCAAGAACAAAAAAAATGAGGCTTTCCCAGTATTGCATTATTTATCCCTGTTCATTTGAGTTTGCAGTTCTGGACATTCAACTGTGAGCCATGCAATTCTAAATAATGCTTTTTAAAAACTGTAAAATTACATGGTATAATAGAATGAGTACTGAACATGGGGTCTTAGGACCTGAGTTTGAATCCAGTCACTGCTGTGTACTATCATTTTTCACTTGATCTGGGCAAGTCATTTGAGCTGAGTCTCTGAGCTTCAGTTTCCTGTCTATAACATGACTGGAGGGCTGGGGAGATGGTGTGGACCGATAGACAGCTGGCCTATGATTCAAAAGAGATGGGTTCAAGTCATGCCTCTCACACATACTGGCTGCATATACCTGAGTTAGTCACTTAAACTCTAAGTGTCCCAACTGTAAGACTAGGATTCTCTAAGAATTGCCGATTTTCTTCCCTAGTAGTACCCTACATTGGTAAAATCAGAAGTCTGAAACACACATACAGAACAAGCTTGTTCTACCTACCTCAAAGGTGTGTTATGAGGAATGAACTTTATAAACTTAGCATACTACTTCAGGCAGGCAGGCAGACAACAATATGCCAAGCACTGGGGACAGAAAGGGCCAAAATGGTCTTTTTCCTCAAGAAACTCACATTCCAATGAAGGAGAAAACATGGAAAATGACTAGGTATATTGTTCATGTCATTCAGTGGTGTCCCAATCTTCATGACCCCGTGGACCATAGTACACTAGTAGTATTCCATGGAATTCTTTCGGCAAAGATACTGGAGTGATTTGCCATTTCCTTCTCCAGTGGATTAAAGCAAACAGAGGTGAAGTGACTTGCCCAGGGTCACACAACTAGTATCTGAGGTCAGATTTAAACTCAGGTCTTCCTGACTCCAGGCCCAGTACTCTATCCACTGAACCATCTGGTTGTCTCTAAATGACTAGGTATACACAAGACATATACAGAGTGGATGAAAGGCATATATAAATGGGAGTTATTATTATTACAGGCATGTCTCATTTTATTGCATTTTGCTTTACTGCACTTTGCAGATATTGCATTTTTTACAAAGTGAAAGTTTGTGGCAACCCTGTATCAAGCAAGTCTATCAGCACCATTTTCCCAAAAGCACATGCTCACATCATGGTTCTATGTCATATACTCAGAATACTTCAAACTTTTAAATTATTATTATATCTGTTAATGGTAATCTGTGATCAGTGACCTTAGAAGTTACTATTGTAATTGTTTTGGGTTACCACAAGCCACACCCATATAAGATAGCAAACTTAAAAAATGCTTTGTGTGTTCTCACTGCTCCACCAACCGTGCATTCCCCCATCTCTCTCCCTCTCCTTGGGCCTCCCTATTGCCTGAGACACAATAACATGGAAGAATATTGAATAAACTTAGTTGATAAAGTAGCAGCAGGGTTTGAGAGGATTGACTCCAATTTTAAAAGAACTACTGTAAGTAAAATGCTATCCAACAACATCACATGCTACAGAGAAATCTATTGTGAAAGAGTCAATCAATGCAAGCAAACTTGCCTTATTTTAAGAAAATGCCACTGACACTCCAACCTTCAGCAACCACCCCCCTTATCAGTCAGCAGCTATCAGGATGGAAGCCAGACCTCCACCAGCAAAAACATTACAACTTGCTGAATAATGGTTAGCATTTTTTTTTAATTAAGGTGATGTAATTTAAGACATTCTTTTTTAGAATAATGCTATTGCACACTTAATAGACTACAATATTGCATTAACTTTTATATGCACTGAGAAACCAAAATATTCATGTGACTCACTTTATTTCAATATTCACTTTATTGCAGTGCTCTGGAATGAAACCTGCAATGTTTCCAAGTTATACCTGTATTAAAGCTGCATCAAATCAAATTAGGAGCTTCTGATAGACCTAGCACATGAATCCTAAATAAGAAATGAATGACTGCAATATTTAAAAATCTACTTCTTCCGATTAACAGAATATCTGCTGACTTATAAGAGCACACAGCCAGGCTCTTATAGGTAATAGCTAATCTTCATTCCCTTCTAGATCATAGATCCAGAGGTACAAGGGAAGTAGAGGCCAATGAGTCCAACCCCCTCACTTTACAGACAAGGATACTGAGGCTCAGAGAGATGTGACTTGTATAGGGTCATATAAGCTATTAAGGTGGGATTTTTACCCAGTTCTCACTGACTCTAAGTCCGGTATCCTATTCGCTTCATATGAGTCTACGCTGTCAAGTATGAAGGAGAAAGTTAGATGCTTAGATACTACGCAAGTAGATCCCACAGGAAGCAAATATTTCAAAATGAAAGAGGGGGGAAGAGAGGACTCTTGTTTGTAACTTAATAGTTTTAGAGAGTCACCTACAGGACTGAATGGTTGCAACTTGGTCCTGATGACACAGCTAGCATATATATCAAAGGCTTTACTCAAACCCAGGTCTTCACAACTTCAAGATTGGCCTTCAAATCCACTATACCATGCTGCCTCTCAGGTAACAATGATGTTAGGAAATTTCCCTCAAATCTTTCCCCTCAAATAAAAGAACCCAATTTACTGTTACTTCACAGTGAATGGAACTTGCCATTTATGCAACGTACGTTCCAAATAAATGAAAACCATACTATACACTTATCTGCTACTCTCTAATCACCATATTATTTAGAATAGTTCCAGTATATTGCTTTTCTGAATCTCTCCATGTGCTCAAGTCACAATTAGTGTTTTTGAGAAGGAAAGGGTTGGTTGGCACTGGATTCTACCTCATGTAGAAAAAGAGCACCAAACATTTTTAAGCATGTTATAATCATCATTTGTTCTTTCTGCCTTTCTTCTAAAGCAAATTGCTTTCTAAAGCAAGCTTTGAAAAATACTAAAATTGTAAACATCATCAAAATAATTGTACGTAAAAAAGGTTTCTATAACCTTTTAAAATTCAGTCTGAAAGTTGACCACTTTGTACAGGAAAAACCACAATGAAAACCTATCCCTTTTTTACATTTGCTTATTAAGCAAAAGCAAGAGATTCATTTTTTTTAAAGCAAGCATCAAATTAAAAACATCTAGCAGAGCATCAAGTACATTTTCACTTATTAAATTAGGGAGTTAGTGAAATACTTACTAGGTAACACCCCATGAGGAAAGCTGCATTTGCTTGTTTTCTCTGATCAGGGCCCGTAAAATGAATTATTTTCTTCCTTATCATTGTAATGGACTGCATTAAAAATGAATAACTGTCAGTGTTCCATTTATTGTTAAAATTCATTAAATATTTGTGGCCTGATACATTTCCCTTTATACTGTGATTTTAGAAAAAATCCCAAACCTCTACATTTATAAGCACTTTCCTTAGAAACAAAACATTCAATCTATCCCAATTCAAAATTTTCAAAACTGAGACATAAGGAGTCAATACTAAATGAATCATTAATGCTAAAAACACCAAGATTATTAAAAGTTGTTACTATATAATTACATAAACATATATTTGTGTCCATATATCATTAAATAATGTTAACTTTACCATAAATGACTAGCATGTTCATGCTCCAACAGAAATTAATTTTGATAAATTTCACTCAACATAAGATACCAGATCTCCATATTGTTGCGTGTGTATATACACACTTTCCCTTAGGCAGTTTAAATAATAGATACTTGAATTATGATATCTGGGTTGTTTTTATTTCTAACTAGTACACTTTAATTCTCCACTCATTCTGGATACCTTATTCACAATTTATGGGCCTAGGGGCAAATAAGCTGCATGTTAATAGATCAGACAAAGGAAGTCATAATCTAACTGACAAAGTATTGTAAAGCCCCAAAAGCCACAAATGAATTCTGATAAAAATTAAAGACACTAAATAAAATTAGATAAATTTTGTATTTATTTTTAAATATGCATTTTTCACTACAAGCTTCCTGACCACAGGTAAAGTAAAAAGAAATTGTGGCTAATCATCCCTGTAACTGTTAATTGAGGTTAACCTCTACTCTCCAATCTGTTTCATGAGTAGTAATGATATAAAAGGGAGTAAAAAAGAATGAAGCCAAGAAAAAAAAAACCAAAGAGCTATAAATCTGTGTAAATCTGTGATATACTATGGGGAGGAAAATCAAGTGCTCCTTAAACAAGAAGAACTTTAACAGGAAAAACAAATCTTTACCTATGTTAAGAGATAAGAGAGTAGAAGAAAGTGTCAACTGAACATCTGGGCCCACCAAATAGATATGAAGCTCTTCCTGAAGAGGAAGGAGACAGACGCTAAGGAGGCAACAGCCATTTGTCTTTCAGTTCAGTTCAATTCAGAAGTATATGTTAAGCATTTACAATGTGTACAGTACCGATGATACAAAGGAAGGATGATACAGAAGCACATATGCTATCCTGTAAAGGTCAGATGAAAAAGAACTAAGTATCTGTAGCTGATGATTTCCTGCTGAGGGGTCCTGAGGCAGCTTTCTGTAGACCTGATAATAATAGAGGGGTTTGTTATCGTCTTGAGGCATGTATCCAGAAAATGACAGGGAACCTAATTCTAAGCCTTGTCAAGGATGACTACTATCTGGGGATTCCTATGGGCATAAATGATACTGCCAGAAGGAAGAAAACATTTTTATGAATTATGAAATCTTGGGCAATACCTCAGGTGGTATTTTCATCACTGCTGACAATTAATGGGAAGTATTTCAAAAGAGAAAGACAGATCTGGGGAGTGAAGAGCTGTTTAAAAAGATGTTATCTGACAACAGGTCTTGGATTTCTGGACCACTGCTTCAATTATAGAATAATGGACTCTCAGAATGAAGTGCACCAAAGGACAGTTGGTAAGAATGTATTTGCCTGGAGTTCCTACAAATCTAAGCAAAATACTGTTAAATAGAAAAGGAAATAGGAAGTAAATTACCAGACACCCCCTACCCCATCAAGCCAGATACGATGAAGAGTAGCAAAAATGTAAGAATAGTGCCAAAAATTCACAAGAGATATAAATCCCCCTCCAAAAAAAAGTCAAAAATAAAACCCATAGCCCTCGGATGTCTATACACAAATTCATAAAACAAGTAAGCTAAAGTAACAGATCCTAAGGCAGAAGGAAATTTGACATCAGAGGTATCATGGAAATTTGGAGAGATAGGGTTCAAGACTAGATTATAACTGTAAAGGATATAATCAAATCAAAATGGATAGAATTGATAAAAGGAGAGAGAGGGTAGGATAAACGGGTGAAGATATCCAGGCTGCAGAAGAAAAGAAGTATGGTAAAGAAGAACAGAAGCAGAAATAGAAGATACATTATTATCTGAGTATACCACAGACAACCTGGACAGAAAGAGGAAACAGATGAGCAGTTTGGAAAATATCTCAAGCCTGGCAGGATGATATTACATACATCTGCTAAAGTCATTTCTCTGCCAAAAGCAGAGCAGTTAATAATTTCTTGACCTCGCTTGATGATTTTGGCCTTCAATAGATGGAAGAAACAACAAGGGTGTCCCCTATGTCTTGAATTCTCTCCAGCTTCATCTCTGCCTCCTGGCTTCCTCCAAGTCTCAGCTAAAATTCCACTCCTTGCAAGAAGTTGTCCCATTGAGATTATCTCCAATTTATTCTGTAGGTATCTTGTCTGTACATAGGTTTTTGAATGTTGTCTCCTACATCAGACTGTGAGCTGCTTCAAAGCAGGAACTGTGTTTGCCCTTCTGCGTATCCTCAGTGACAGATTTGTCTGGCATAATAATAAAAAATGCTTTCTGATTGACTGGTAGAGAAAAATTCTCTTCTAGATCTGGTTTTCATCTACACATAGGAAGTGGTTGCTAGAGTGGAAATAATGGTAACCTCAGTGGAAAAGTTACCACTCCACCTTAGAATTTCGGACAGAGGTTAAGCAATGTGGGCACAGTGTGATATGCACGCTAATTGGAAGAGCAGCTTTTAAAGGATTTCAGTAGCATGGAATAAACACTGACAAGGGAAATAACTTCAAGAAGGATGCAAAACTCTCAAGAATGAAATCTAGAAGACACAAAATGAGAAGGAAAGAAATTCAGTAAGGAGAAAAGGGGGAAATTGTTTAAAGAGACTGATATGGATCTAAAGGTAAATGATTGATCAAAGCAGATTTTTAAGACTATGTAAAGAGAATGAAAAGTAAGGCCACGTTAACAGAATAAAGACAGAAAGAAAGTATGGTTCTGGTAAACAAAAATGGAAGGAATACAAAGAGAACAAAAAAGCCATTTACAAAACAAGCTATATTGGGGAAAAGAGGAAGGTCAGCAGCCCTGCTTGCAGCAGATGTGATGATAATGCATGTTGGAGGGAAGGTGGAATTGCTCAGCTCTTATTTAGCTGCTCTTTTCTACGTCAAAGAGAAAGACCTTTGAACTAGAAAGAACTGCACAGAAGTAACTGTGGAGGAGTTGATAGCCAAGATAAACAAGGAGATAGTAAGAGAGCAACTAGTTGCCCTTGATGAGTGCAGGTCATAGGCGCAGGTAAATTACAACACAGGGTTATAGTAAAAGAACTGGCCCATGTTATTACAGGACCACAGTCAGTAATCTTTAAAAGAAACTGTGGAATGAAAGGAGGCAGCACAAAATGGAAGGACAGGTACTGTCTAGATTAAAAAAAAAAAAAGACTAAAGATATAGGCCGGTGAGCTTGGGAATATATTATTAAAGTGATATCTTTATTATGTCATGCTCCAGGAATCTCATTATTGAGAAAACATCATCCTGCAAGATCCCATCAGCTTCAGTGGGATCACTTCCCTCTGCCTCTTTGCCTCGAAGGTAGAGCCATAATCTCCAAAACCTCCATTTAAGGAAGGAGGCCAGCTCAAAACATCTTGTTTCTCACTTGGCTGAGGGTGACTTCTGGGACTTCTCTGACTTCCACACCATCCCTCCTCCCTGGCTTTTCAGCTTCCTTTTTTTAAGTTGTCTTTGCCCGTTAGCTTGCAATCTAAGAGGGCAGGGACTCTCTTTTTTCCTATTTATATCCCCAGCACTTAGCATAGTGCCTGGCACATAGGGGGTGCTTGATAAATGTTTGTTATCGACTGTGGCTGGTGAACAGTTGAGAAAGAAGAAACGGTGATGGAAATCTGTTGCCCAAAGTTAGGGAGAGTGTCTGAAGTTCCACTGTCAGCTGGCGCTAGTACCTCACTGCATCATGGAGCAGGTGGGGAACTTTATAAAATGAAAATGAGTGCTTCTTCTATATACTCATAAATATATGCATAACACAGTTATTAAAGTTAAGGAACACTAGCTACTTCATGTTTGGGTATAATAATGTATACATACTACACTTAGTAGAAAATAACTGAAATATTTTTTCTTAAAAAAAAAGCAAAGGATTAATAATCCCAATGAGCCAATTTGGTTTCATACTAGACTAATATGTCTATGTCTAACTTCTAAAGACTAACAAGTCATATTGGACTAATTTCATTTCCCTTTTTTTTGGACAGGTAACATCAGAGGATTAGTAGACTGGTTGATCATACTGTAGCTATTTACTTAGATTTTAACCAAGTATTTGATAAAGTCTCTTGACTATAAGTGTGAACAATATGGAGAGATGTTTGTTAAGTGATAGCACATTTAAGTGAATTTGGAACTGGCTAAACCAAGCCCAAAGAAGAGTCATTGACAGTTTAACATCAACTCTGGAAGAGGTCTCTAGTGGTGTTTCCTAGGGATCTATACTAACAGCTCTTTTAAAGTTTACAAATCTCTTTATATATATTATGTCCTTGGATCCTTCACAATAACTCTGTGCTATTATCTTCATTTTACAGATGAGGAAACTGAAGCAGAAAGAAATTAAGTGACTTGCCCAAGGCTGAGGCACTATATGGACTCAGATCTTTCTTAGTTCACTGATCAATTTATTATACTACCTACCCATGTAGATACATCCTGGCTGACAAGGTGCTGTTCAATTTTTTTTTAATCAATGGCTTGAGAATGGCACAAAGGCAGGAGTGATAGATAATACAAGATTGAATCAGGATCTCAAAAGATCTGGCCAGTCTAAAATATTAGGCCAAATTCATTAAGATTAAACTTAATGAGGACAAAAAAAGTTTTATATTTTGGTGTACAAAAATCAATTTCCGAAGTATAAAATGGGAAAGGCATGACAACCAAGCAGTTAGCCTTAGAACGATGTACAGTTTTAGTTAACTGTAGACTAAATGAGTCAACTTCATCATAAGGTAGCTTAAAAAGTTAATGGGTTTTAAGTTCCGTTAAGAGAAGTATAGTGTCCTGGAAGAGGGAGGTGAAGTTTCTTCTACTGTCCTGATCAGAATACATTTGGCATATTATATTCAGTTCAGGGCATTATTTATAGGAAAGATATTGATAAGCTAGAGAGGGTCCTGAGAATGATGGTTAGAATGATGAGGGGACCCTAGACGATGCCACATCTCAGTTGAAGGAACTAGGGATTTTTATCCTGGAGAACAGAAGACTTAGAAGGAATGTTATAATCATTTTTAAGTATCTGAAGAGATGCCATATGAAAAGGGGATTCAACATTTTTGCTTGGTCCCAGAAAGCAGAACTAGAAATTTTTAAAAATGAGTATAAATGATTTTTTTAAAAAGAAAAAAAAGATTTAGGCTTGATGGAAGGGTGTTTTTTTTTTATTTTAACAATTTTGTTATTACAAAATTATAAGAGGCTGTTTTGGAAGGTGGTAGCTTCCCCTCCCTAAAGAGCTTCAAACAAAGACTGGTGGATTATTAGTCCAGCAAGAGCTGGAGAATTCTTGTTCAATTACAAATTAGACTAGATGGGCATCAAGATCCCTTCCGACATTGATATCCTCTGATTATAATGGAAAATGGACTAATGTTAATTATTCATGATGTTAAACAGGACCTTTTCTTATTAAAATGTTTTAAGATACGTTATCAATGACAATATAGAGCTTTAATTTTCCTTTTTTTTTAAAACCTGCCTGGCTTTCTTATTTTGTATTGCTAAAGCAAGCAAAATATATTACCACATTCTGTCTTGCAGGAGCAAGTTACCTGACACCCTTTTTGTTTCAACTGACCTATGCCACATTGACAAACAAAAGTACCATGTATTTACATTAGAGTGAGGAGGTTAAGAAGGTCTATGTGATAAAAGTGTCACCAGTTTTATGTAGGCTGGGCAGGTCCTATGAGGAAAAAGAGGCTGTTTGACTTCCTTGCAGCCTGAGGCATAAAGGCTCAGCCTATGAGAGTTTAACATTGTAATGTTGTGAGTTAGAAGTTAGATAATTCTTTTGGAGTTATATAATTTTTTTATCCTTGGTTACTAGTGTTTTATTGCCCCCTACTCCCCCAAAGCAGAACTGTTGGACTGAGTTAAAGTTAAGCCTGGCCCAGAATAGTCTGACCTAGAACATGATCAACAAGGTTCAAAATTTCCCAAGGGAACAAAGAAATCACTCCTTTTGTTTGCTGGCATTTCTTATCAAAGGTGAGTAGTGGGAGGTATAGTGGAAAGGACACTGGGCATAGGATAAGACCTGGTTCTCCCACTTCCTCCATGTCTATGTGGGTTTGGGGAAGTAATTTCATCTCCTGGGCTTCAGTTTCATCATTTGTAAAATGGATCCTTTTAGCTCTAATATAATGCAAAAAAAAATAATGACTAATGAAAACATGAGATCAGTTTATGCTTATGCCTCAACTCCACTGGTATAGATACTACTGTGTTGTCCTTATTATACAGTGGCTATTATGATTCTTAAAATATTGTCACAAATACAATCAATAAAAATCAAAACAGGAGAGGCATAAACAAGAACTGTTCAACAAAAATGATAACATATGTACATATATATGTAGTTTCTTTCTAAAACAAAACAGAAAATAAAATATATAGGTGCCTTCTCTAAATGCATAGGAAACATCACAAGTCATTCTAAAATACCTGAGACTACTCTTTTGAAGAAGAGGAATGTTTTCCTTTTCTGACTAGACCAATGCTGATTACTTAAAACCAATCTGCTACCAAAAAAATAGTTTACCTTTAATTTCTTATTTATCTTGCAACAATATCTGTAAACCATTGCCAGATTGAGTGGTCCAAAATCTGCGAAGAAGCTTTAAAAGTGAAAACAAACAAAATTGTATAGGTATGGCTTGGATTTTCTGAATAAATGCCTGTTTTTGTTGTGCAGATCAAATTACAAGAAAAACACACAACATAATATCCTATTACTGGACAAACAATTTAAAGATATTGCCTTGTTATGGAGGAAACATATTGGCAAACACAAAGCTTCCAAAAATAAATGACCACAATGAACACATTTACCAAGTATTTTCTATTCTTACACTAATAACTGGAAAACACCTTTGGGGGGAAAACTGTTACATCTGACAAATTTTTTTTCTCTACTGCTAAGTAATGTAAAGCATATCCTATTTTATCAAACTCAGTTTAATATTAGCATAAATTTCAAAATATATATGCCTGAACTAGAATAGATGAATTCTAAACTCCCTTCCAGTTCTTAACATTCTATGGTTTCATACAAATTGTTTCCGAAACTTGAGGGGGGGAAAAGTATGATTTCCCCACCCCACCCCCATACAAGATCTATTTTACCATGAAGGATGAAATGTATTAATGCAATCTCTATAATCCAATTATCCAATCCTATAATCCCAAAAAACTAATATGTCTTTAAGGCTATTCTGTACTAAGGTGCTCTTCTAGCTTAGTGAAAAATGAATAGATTCTCTATAATTTTAGAAGAGCACAAGATCATACTTACTTCTCATATTCAAATTCGTCATCTATGGAGAAATAGTGTATGTTTGCAGCACTCTTTGGTTTCTGGTAAAGAATGGCAAAACAAAGGCGATCTGAAATGCAAAAAAAGTCAAAACTAATACTACTCTTAAAATGACAAGCTTGATTTCTTCAGAGGAAAAAGTCTCATAAGTTATCCAAATCTCTCTGATTTCTTTTATTACAAACTTATTTTTCATTCATGTTTCCACATACTAGGAAACTCAATTGGTGAATAATAAAAAATGCAAGCTGTTTCAATCAATCACAACTTTATTTTTTAAATTTAGTTAGGCAATGGGGTTAAGTGACTTGTCCAGGGTCATACAGCTAGTTAAGTGTTATGTGTCTGAGGCACAATTGGAACTCTGGCCCTTCTGAATCCAGGGCCAGCACTCTATCCACTGCGCCACCTAGCTGCCCATAATGATTTTTTTTAAGGGATTATTGTCTTTGCAAAAGAAAAGGTCTAGATTTGTGGTTAGAAAACTAGGTTCAAATTCTACCTCTGCCATTATGTGACACCGGCAATTCATTTACCGTCTTTGGGCCTCAGTTTCCTCATCTGCAGAGTGAGGGGATTGGACTAGCTGACCTTTAAGATTCCTTCCAGCTCTCAATCTGTGATCCTATGACCTTTCATCCATGGAAATTAAGGAGGAATAAGTGACTTCCCATAGAATTGCATTGCCTGATTTTGGGATGAACTCACAAGTTTCTACCACTTGTTTATCAGAATAGTTAAAACCCTGAGGTTTCAGCTAATTATAGCATTTGTAAACAGCCAGCACACACTGCAAAACTTTTTCTATAACATCTTATTTGTTTGTGTTTAGAACATCCTGAAAAAAATTGCTAATGCACCTTAAGGCATACACCAAATATTTCAAACATAAAACCATTTTGGGGGGTTATTTTTTAAGGAAGGAGGTTCTTTTTGCTTCTAAATGAAGTTCACAGAAAGCAAAGAACCTAACAAAAGCAATCCATGTCTTTACGCCACATTTTTTTTTAAACAAAGGGTTACATGCCCAAGCACTAAGGTTTTTATTATTTTAAAAGGCTACGGTACTATTCAAAATACAAACCCCACATGGGTTAGACTTTTTATCAGTTTGGAATCGGACCTTCGCAACTGCAGAAAATACATCAGAGTCCCCTACGATGGTCAAATGCAACCAAGCAGCAGACTACGAAGTAGTGTTACTAAGCCCCACCCCTCTCCCCTTGGAAATCTTGGTCTTTAAGCTTCCCCCAGAAACCACCGATAGCTCTAAAGTCCACAAAAAAGCAATAACATGCTCATTTGTGCTTTAAAATGTCGCAAAATGCAGACTGATTTTTTTTAAGTTCTATTTTCGGTATAACTGGTGGTAAGAAACAAATGACGCCAGTCGGCATTGATCCTCGAAACTGTTAACTTCTAAATGTCTTGACCTATACTGAACTCACTCGATTTCTGCAACCACACTTAAACATTACTTGAAAAAACGTATCAATTACAAACCCCAAATGCAATAAGTTAATGAACAAAATTAGTGTTATAAAATCCCACATTAAAAAGCATTTATATACTTCCCCCCAAGCAACCTATATAGTTAGTTTTTTCCTTTTAAAAGGATTAACTCGGAAAGAGTCCCAAGTTCCAGAACTCAAGAGTTATGATGGAGGACTTGCACGACCCTCACAGGGTACTGGACCTGACCTGTAGGTCCAATCACTTTGTATTCCAGGGAAAGTACTCAGCTTAATTCTTCCTCTCCCATTCTCTACACTGTAGTGACTCTTGGAGTATACAAGACAAAAATGCAAAGAAGCAAATTTTTGGATTCTTCCCTCCCCCTTTTAATACCATGCTATTTTTTTTTTAGCCTCCGACTAAGTCTGCTAAGGGCTAGGGACAGAAGAAACCTCCAGTAAGTTGAGGTTTCCCTAGACAAGATCGTATGTCGTGGAAACCACACAAGAAATGCTAGAGCTGGGTCCGGGGTATCAACTCTCTCCTTCCGCCCTCCTATACTCTCCTCCCACTCTGCTCCCCGGGTGGAGGTCAGAGCTGTTTCTCCAGACAAGCAAGGCTGAGCGTCCCCTTGGTGTAAGACTCACCTTTTATCACCTCCACTACAAACTTCTCCTTGCCGGTCATGATTTTAAAATCATCTAAGAAAACAGGGGCGGAGGAGAGATGGGGGAGGTGGGACACTATAAACAGTGAAAAAGTGTAGAGAAGGAAAGTTAAAGCTACAAGAGGGCGGATCTAACTTCCCAGATCTGCATCTTGGAAGAAGCGTCGGGCCACACCCCCCGAAATAAAAGAGGAGAAAAAAAGGTTAAAGGGCTATATCTAAGTCCAAAGGAGAAGGAACCATAATCTTCCCTCGATACCATACCCAACACTGGGGAGTGCCAACTTTCCTGAGAACCTCCAAATTCAACATTAGCAAACTAAGAAATTAACAACTTTAAACCAATATTTCCAAATTGTGCAATAAATAAAAGAGGAAAATTCTCAAGATAAGAACGTAAGTGGATTTTTCTGAGCATTTTTCAATTATCGTAAAAAATTCTTTGAGAGATGGGAAAATACTTCAGCTGATGAGATGAAAAGAGTAGGGCTACAGATATAGATTCGAGTAAGCAAAGGGAAACACACAAATACAGAATTAGCTCCCTAAGTGAAAGTTTGTCTCTAGGCCAGTTTCCTCCAGATTCAAGGCTCCTCCCCCTGTTATTTCCAACGAGATGGAATGCGGAACGAGGTGTTATTGCAGCTGCGGCGCCGAGGCCCCACCTCCATGAACGCCTCCAGCTGCGCCAGATTCTGCTAAAGTGGGTTAGTTGATTGCTACAACCCAGGGAATGTGCTTTAATAAACTGCAATCCAGCAATTGTACCTTAATGAGCCAGCCAGAAACTAAGACATTCTTATCTTTTGAAAAGGAAAATGATCCTTTGACTGCAGTCTCACCCCCTTTCCTCTCTACCTCCTCCCCTTAACGCAGCAAATATTTGGTGGGTCTGTGCTGGAGACAGCACGCCCTCTGTTGGGTCTGCTTTGACTAGCTTCTTTTTCGGTCTGTAGCTCCTTAGGTAGGTACCTCAGGGCCTTGCAGATGATGCTGAACTAAACAAGTGGCTGGAGATACAATGAAACTACCCACCTGGGACATCAGATCAATGGACATGCAAATACTACGTCCTACTTCCTACTTTCTTATCCTTCCCACTCCAGTACAAAAGAATGCGATTCCCAAGAGGTGACTAGAGGATAGAGTGGGGGAGACCAATGCTAAATATTTTTCCTCCTTTAGTTTTTTTTGGGGGAGAAAATGTAAAAGGTATCCCCACATCTGGAGCTGCTGTTGCAATGCTCAGTCCCCTTAGAAGGGCAGACATAGATAGATCGATAGATAGATAATAGATGTAGATACTATGACGGCTACTTATGTGCTATTGCTATGGTTACTGTTCAGGTACCTGCCAGAACAAATAGAAATTCTGCAGAGAGACAGTGAGACTGAGAGAAAGAGAGAGAGACAGAGAACATATACATACATGTATTACACATATTAGATAATATTTTTTCCCCAGAAAGGGAAAATTAAAGTCTAATTTTCCCTTAAAAGTATTGGCGCCCTGGGGCTGCTAGGTGGCGCAGTGGATAGAGCACCGGCCCTGAAGTCAGGAGGACCTGAGTTCAAATCCCGCCTCAGACCAAACACTTGACACTTAACTAGCTGTGTGACCCTGTGCAAGTCACTTAACCCCAATAGCCTAAAAAAAAAAGTATTGGCGCCCTATGCTGAAAATTCTGATGCTGAAGGCAGAAGCAAAATTTACACGCCCAGAAAACTCTTCAAAATACATACAATCTTGACTGTCTTGGAAAAAATTGCATGCAAGCAAATGACTCTAAAAACTTACTCCAGCAAGAGAGGCAAATACTAGATTGTATCAGACAATCTGATACATAATCTCTGTGCAAAATCAAGAGGGAAAAAAATGGTCAAGTGTCTCCCAAGAAATGATATTCCATCTGCTTAACAAAATCCTCCCAGATATAACAGAGATGAGTGCCTCACTCTAACCATTCAGACCTCTGTATTTTCTTTTCAGTATATAATACTGAAAATCTTTTTTTTTCCTTTCCCCAACTGCACATGCATAGTATTCTTAATAGTCTTCTCTATGTGGGGAAAAGTCATGGGATCTTATATTTTCAAAGTGTAAGAGACCTGAGAGGCAACCTCCTTCATTTTATATATGAGGAAACTGAGGCCCAAAGTGGTTAAGTAATTTACCTAAGATAATTCAAGTAGTGCCAGAGACTGGATTTGAGCCCAGATCCTCTGATTTTTAAGTCTAGTACTCCTTCCACTGTACCACACTAGTCCTAGGTTTAATTGTCAGCTCTGTCAGTGTTTGTGACTTTGAGCAAGTTAGTCTCTGTGAACCTCAGTTTTCTTATTTGTAAAACAGGACTAATAATACAGGGTATTATTATGGTTTATTCAGAGGATCAGAAAAAAATGTATGTAAAGTACTATAACTATAAGCTGCTATGTATATATGAACTAATGCTGTGATTATTATTACTACCATCACTACCTGCTACTTATGTGCTGTTACTATGGTTACTGTCCAAGTACCTGCCAGAGCAAACAGAAATCCTGGAAGTAGGGGGGAATAGGAGGGAGGGTGTTTTGAAAAGGGCAATGAGCTAGAAAGAGCCCCCATTAGAAAGTTTAAAATAGGGATCCAAAATTTAAGTTTGTGATGCTTGTGTAAGTCATTAGTAGTTCCTTTATGTGTTTGTTAAGGTTATTGCTACTTGTCTTAGATGATAAGCAGAAGGAAAATGGCTACTATTCAACTTCGCTGTAGTGAGTAGAGCTCAGAATCATCATATTTAAAAAGTTTTAGTTCATGTCTCCCTTCCCCCTCCCCATTTTCAGAACCAATGTGGTAGACAGTTGGCCAGGAAACTGGGGGCCTAGTTGGGGGTGTGATGGTAAGTGTTTAAAAACTGACTCTCTAGAATGAAAACAATAACAACAACAATGTATGCAGGACG